GTAACCTATAATTACCGACAAGAATGGATTCAACCATATGAAAAATCATATGAATGGTTGAAAACACAATGCAAAGACATCAATCTAGTAAATGAAGTATTGGAATGTGCGAAAAAAACCGTGGTCGAACAATATAAAATTGGGAAAGAAGCTGAAGAGTCGGATCGTAGCTTTATATCTGTGATTAAAAATAAAGAAGTTATAAAAGAACAAGAGAAAAACGAAGAACAGAGGGAAAAGAATATTGGTATGTCTTTACAAAAGTAATTTTTGAAAAAAATAATATTTTTTTTTAACCAAACTTGTTAAAATATGGAATATTAGCCTTGAATAGGGATAAAATTACTCGTACAAAAACCATTATCATAAGGAAAACGATCACTGTCCAGATTATCAAAGAATGCTTCACACATCGCACGCAAAAGGGAAATTATACTTTAAATCAAGATGTCGCAAAGCTTCTCGGTTACGAGTCCGTAAAATCTTTAGAACTTGCATTAAAATTGCACTTTATCTCAAAAGATATTGCGGAATTACATCAAGATATTTTAATTACTGCAATAATATTGTGGTACTTCCGTTTGGTTGCCGTCGATTATCGCGATCATTGGTCCGCTGAATACGAAAAATCCTATGTATGGTTAAGCTCACAGGTGGCAAATAAAGACATTGAGTTGAAACTTATGGAATCTGCAAGATTATTCGTTGAACAAAATTATAATGTCGAAGAAGAAGCTAAAGAGTTAGACTATGATTATCAAGGTAAGTTACAAAAATGATTCTTTTTACATCTTTTTATTAATAAATTGTAATAATTTTAAATTTACGTAGAGGGTATAATTAAACCAAAAGAAAAGGATGAAGAAATCTTTGCGGAAAAAATAGTCGAACAAAAAGAAAAGGAAGGACCCGTTACAGAAGATACGAAGTCGTGGACTAAGAAAGCACTTTCTACTATTTTTGGAAGACCACATGCATCTAATAGGAGCCTTGAAACGCATATTGAAAATGCACTCGTCTCTGATGTTGATGACCACGATCATCATGAAAAAGAGGTCGCCTTAACTACTGCTCGATCAAATGTTACTGTCGAAAAAATCAAATTTATTACAACAAAACAAAAAAACAATGGATGCTTTGATCTAAGCGAAACTCTAATCAAAGAGTTAAATGTTCCTGCAAAAGAGGTTGTGACAGATGTTCAAACATATTCTACAAATGAAAAATTAAAGAAACCCGAATCAGCGTCTTGGTGGACAACCGCATTAACTCTTGGTTATCTTAAGAATGCTGCATCTCAACATGAAGGAGAATGGAGGGATAAGTATAATAAAGCACGAGAATACCTTACGGCACAGATTGGCGATGCGGAAGCCGAAAAAGAGTTAATCGAGATTTCAGAAAAATATGTAATTAAGAAAGTCATTAAAAAGGTTACTGTAGAGAAAAAGAGAACAGCCATAGTTGCGATTCGGGAATCAACCACTCCAGAAGTTATTGAATCAGTTATTTCTAAACAAGGGGACGATGGTGCATTCGAAATTAACGAAACAGTTACAAAAGAACTTGATGTCTCCTCATCTGAAGATCTTATATCTTTGGCTCAAAGCACAACATCTAGCGATGCTATTAAATCATCTGATTCATCCGTATGGAAGACCGCTCTTATGATTGGATATCTTCAGACAGTTGCTCCTCATCATGAACACATCTGGAAAGAAAAGTACAACAGAGCCCGAGAGTATCTTCACAGCAAACTTAATAATCCAGAATTAGAAGAAGAGGTTATTAGGATCTCTACTAAGGTTGTTGTTAAAAAGACGACCGAAAAGGTAGTAAAAGAGCAAAGAAAGGCTGCAGTAGAGGTCATTCAATCGGCTACAACACCGGAGGTCCTTCATTCTGTGACGTCCGAGCAGAAAGAAGACGGTTGTATTCATTTAAGCGAGACCACACAAAAAGCATTAAACATTCCATCAACCGAAACTCTAGTAACAACCGTGCAAAAATATACTACCAATGAAAAACTGAAGAAACCCGAATCAACATCTTGGTGGACAACTGCCGTAAATCTTAGCTATCTCAAAAATACTGCTACTCAACATGAAGGAGAATGGAAGGAAAAATATAATAAAGCTCGTGAATATCTCTCTACTCAAATTGGAGATGACGATACAGAAAAGGAATTATTAGAAATCACCGATAAGTATGTTGTTGATAAGATAACACATAAAGTCATCGAAGATCACAAACAAGAAGTAATTACTATTGAAAAGGAAAAGAAGGAAAAGAGAGATAACATTCTTGGAAATATTACTGGTGGTTTAACGGCCATATATAAAACTACTACAGATACCGTCAAAGATCTTGGAAAACACGTTGAACAAGCTCTTACTTTTGATACAGATGATCATGATCATCAGGAAAAAGCTGCCGCCTTAATTGTTGTTCAATCAAATACCACACCCGAAAAAACTAAATCGATTGTTACAAAACAAAAAAATAATGGATGCTTCGAATTAAGCGACACAGTAGTTAAAGAATTAGATGTTCCTGCAAAAGAAGTTGTAACTACAGTTCAGACGTACACCACAAATGAGAAGTTAAAGAAACCCGAATCAACATCTTGGTGGACAACAGCATTAACTCTTAGTTATCTCAAGAATGCCGCATCTGAACATGAAGGAGAATGGAGAGAGAAATACAATAAAGCACGAGAATATCTTACCGCACAAATTGGAGATTCCGAAGCCGAAAAAGAATTACTTGATGTTACTGATAAATATGTAGTAGATAAAGTTACAAAGAAAGTTATTATTGAGAAAAAGAAAACCGCGGTAATTGCCATCCAATCATCTACAACACCTGAAACAGTTGAGACGGCTACATCTACTCAAAAAGATGACGGTTCATTCGAAATTAGTGAAACTATTACAAAAGAACTTGATGTTACATCTTCCGAAGATCTAGTTACTTCAGCTCAAAAAGTTTCCAAGAATGATAAACTTAAAGAAGTTGACTCTTCTGTCTGGAAAACTGCTCTTACTCTCGGATACCTTAATACAGCAGCACCTCATCACGAAAATGGATGGAAAGATAAGTATAATAAAGCACGAGAATATATTAGTTCTAAACTTAACAATCCCGAATTAGAAGAAGAAGTCATTAAAACATCAAACAAAGTAATAGTTGAAAAAACAACAGAGAAGATAAATAATGAACATAAGAATGCGGCAATTTCGGTTATTCAATCAACTATCACTCCAGAGAC